AAAAAAAAAAAAAAAATACACAAAAGACTGAGCAGGGGGCAAGGCTGTTGGGTCGCACAGTAAAACTCTTCTTATGGAAACTGTCTCCCAGTGCATGCTTAGAAATGCTATCATAGTAAAAAACAGATTTTTTTTCTATGGTAACAGTGTCAGACTTTTCTGCAGGACTCTGCTTTGCTGCCTGTTTGCCAGCGAGTCTGTGGGTTCAAACGGCGACAGGCGTGCTACTGTAGTAAGCTCTATTCATGAGCTTCATTCACAGAGGGATTATATTCCATGCAGAGACAGTGTGTGTTTGTGTCCTCCTTTATAAGCTTCATTTACAAAATATTATGTTTTGATTAGTTATAAAAATGTTCTTTAAAGGGTGTTGGGTAATAGGAACAGTATGTTGTTGTCAGTGTGGTTAATCTGTTGTTTACTATGTTGTGTGTGTATGAGTGACTGACAGTGTCAGCTGTATTACCATAAGCAGATTGGAGCGTCTATAATGAGATATAAAAGTAGTCAGGTGGTAAGCCAGCAGGAGGGCTTCTTTAATGATGGATGAACAAGACGCGTTGGTGCTCAGTGATGCAGTAAAGAACAGAAACGTTATTTTAGTTAAAGCACATACACAATAATATTCACTAATGTATAAAGTTGTTTTATGTTTCTCATTGAAAAACATTCAAAAAAATGATTTATTTTACAATTATGCATGTGCACATCCAAAATCAGTTCTACATTTAACAAATATTTCACTGTTTGTTTTGCGGTACATTTCAATTTCTTGTTTTTGTCAAGCTTTGTCCTGCCAACAATTTTAAGCAGGTATGGAGAATCATCAAGAACTGAAATCCTGAGGGCTGAAAATCTAGTCGTTCTGCATGCATATAATAATTATTACTATGAGAAGAGGTAATGTGAGAGAACATATATGTATAACTGGGTTTTACTATTTTAACACAAAAACAAAATGTCTAAAAGTATGTTATTACAAGATTAACACAAATGTGTAAAACATGATGCCATCCATCCATCCATCCATTTTCTGAACACCCTTGTCCCTCAGTGGGATCGGGAGGGTTGCTGGTGCCTATCTCCAGCTAACGTTCCGGGCGAGAGGCGGGGTTAAAACATGATGCCATTGTTTTTATTTAAAACAGAAACACAAAAATTATTCCTTCCTGCTTCTAAAACTATGTAACTCATTTAATATTAGGATTATGATAATCCCACCCAAGACATTTATTTTGTGCTACTGTTTAAAATCAGAGTCAGCTGTTTCATATGATCATAACTCTTACTAACATCCTGCTCCAGTGATAAAACAGATGAAAAGTCAGGGATTGACTGCTACAGACATAAGTTGTGAGATAATTTTAAAGTCAGGTCATAAATTTAGACTGAGGTGAATTACTGGAACATAAAACAGGACACACACCCATTGATTTAACTAAAGGTTTTCATCTAAACGTGCTTACTGCACAGTTTTATTGCTTCTCTTTTTATTTTACAAAAAAAGAAAAACACTGCCAGCTGAACTAGGTTAGCATCTTAAGAAGCCAACCTGCAGTTGGCTGCTTGACAGACATGCTGGATAACATGTTAACTGAACTTTCAAAAACATGACCTTGATGACCTCAGTGGGCACCGTTCTTTAAGTTTTCAAGCCGCTACTTTCCACACAGCTGAGTTTATGTCATGTAAACATGAAAAATGTGAGATAAATAGTTTACCAAAACTAGAATTGGTGCATTAACTGATCAGAATAATATGCTTCTGTCTAACCAGCCAGTCAAACTGAAATTTGTCTGATTTTGGTCAACTGCCAACTTCCTGAAGGATCTCTAAAATATAAAAACCAAAGATTTTCTTCTGACAGTTGAGCCTGTGCATTCAAAAATTCTGCAAAAAACATTGATCATGTTGACATAAACAAGTGACAACAGGCCTCAACTTTTTCAAGGACATGTTCACCCAGATAGGCAACATTCAATGTGACGTCTGTTTACCCCTGCTGACCCTGTCTGAGTGCTGCAGGAACCAGCTGATTACGCAAGATAAACGACTCACACAGAAAGTAACAAAACCAGCAGCCATGTTCGCCTCCTGCTCCCATCCCTCTGCCTGTCTGTTCTACATTCTGTCCTCTCTGTCATCATCACCTTATTCTGTTTACAAAACTCTCATTTCAACCCCTCTGCCTCCCTCTTCATCCAACAGTGGATCATGTGATCCCGGAGCCCGGCAGCAGCCTGTTAGAGGCCTACGACCAGTGGAGGCAGTGGGCCGATGAGAAGGCCTGCTGTGACTATTCTCTCCATGTGGACGTCACCCACTGGGACGACAGCGTCAAGCAGGAGCTGGACAACCTCATTAAGGAGAAAGGTAGGCCGTGGTGGCGCAACACGACAGTGGGACTCATGATTCCTTTTTGTTTCAACCACAGGCTTCAATGTACTTCATCAAAGTGGAGTGTTATTGTGAAGTGGAAGTAAAATAACGCACAATTATAAGGGATTTTTTTTGGACAAAAAAGTGTGGAATGCATATGTACCCAGTTCTCTTTACTCTGATGCTCCAAGTGTTCACCTGTGTGCATGAGTCAGTCCAGCTGTTTTGTGAACAGCTGGAGCTTTTTGAAGGCCCCAGTAGTTTTAGCAAAATGAGTATCACAAAAACCAAGGATCACATGACAAGGTGATGGGACCAAAATTAAACTTCTTGCACCGACATGCAAAACACAGTAAGAAAATGAATACTGCACATCATCCTGAACACATGGCAGCACCACTGTGTGGAAACACTGTCTAGTGTGGAAGGAAAGGTGGTTGGAGTTGAGGGGAAGACGGAGAAACCTAGAAACTGGAAGTTCACCTTCCAGCAGGACAGCAACACTAAACATACAATAAAATGTTCTTGAAGAAAGTTTATTTATGATCCAGTCAAAGTCTGTGGTAACAATCAAAATTTTTATTGACATTGCCTTTCAAATCTAATTGAAATTTCTGTGTCTAGTAGACCAAAGTTGGCAGGAATCTAATGCCAAAGAGAAATTTGTGGTTGTTAGCAAAATGAAAGAACAAAAAATGAAGGGGTATGGATCATGTGATGGGAACATGCTTGTGATTTTCCAAATTGGACATTTTAAATAAAGTCACATGGTACTGATACTGGATAACAGCAAAATGATGAAGTTAGTAGTGAAGAACTTATCTGGGTGCTGATGTTCTTATTTTGTGCAGGTGTGAACTCGTTCCAGGTCTACATGGCCTACAAGGATTATTATCAGATGAGCAACAGTGAGGTAAAAAAAAAAAAACTTTCAGGATTCATGAAATCTGCATCAGAACCGTGAAATGGATGACAACTGTTATGCAATGTTTTTGGCATGACATGAAGGATAATCAGAGACTGACTCATTATGTTCTTCTGCACATGTTTCTATTCCTAACACGCACGCACACACACACACACACACACACACACACACACACACACACACACACACACACACACACGCACACGCACGCACACACTTTAAAAGTGTTGTGGCAACATAATCATAAACAGTAGCAACTAAAAATGGTAATATTCACATGGGGTGTATTTTAAGTGGAATAAGTGTGAAATGAGGAATACTAATCTTGCAATAATTAATATATTTTCCATAGGAAACATTTTTATGTGTGTATCCCCTGGTCTGTGATGTGTGCAGTAACTCTGTAAAATAGTTCACGTTCAGACGGTGTGAGGCTGGACGGTTTCTCATGCAGTCATAGATCATTTGGTTTTGGGAAGAGCACATGAGGAAACTAGAATAGTGGCGCTTGAAAAACTGATGTCATGAACCTCTGAGGAACTGAGGCACAGCAGCGCAAAAACAACTGCAGCTCATCCCCCACCAGTTTCTCCATTTCTGGAGACCACACGTGGTAATTGCAGTGTGTGTCCTGGTAAACTTCAACTAAATTGTGGGCCTCTGAAATTGGGGCGTATGAGTGACCTGTGAGCTACAGAGTACTGTCTTTTTCTTGTCTTAATGGCTTGGCTTGATCTCAACATTAAAAAATTGTGTTCTCTTTTCCTTGCAGCTCTATGAGGTCTTTACCTTTTTGGCAGAGAGGGGGGGCATTGCCCAGATCCACGCTGAAAACGGCGAGATCATTGCTAAGGTAACAATAAAAAACTTTTCTTTTTCTTTCAAAACTTGAGATATCTTCAGCTGTTTGTGTTTAAAGAGATTTATTCCTTTTTAGTTGAGTTCAATTACGTCTTTCACCTTATCACACTGCATCGTCAGACTAAACGCACCATCTGTAATGGCTGTATTTCCTGCTGGATAGTAATGTGTGGGTGTAGTTTATACAAGGCTGTCCTGTACGAGGTCAAATGAAAGTGAATCAACTGTAATACTGGATGGATTTAAGTAGTTGCTATTAGTCAGAACTCCAAGATGTGCCTGGATTCTATCACTGAGTGCATTTGGATCTGATTCATTATAAATCTCAGCTCCGGTTTGAAACTTGGACTTGGACAGAGTCTGATTTTTATCAGCTGTAAGACGCAGATTTGTTTGAACTCAGAAAATATATCATAGCCTTGCTTTTGACCCATAAGAACATACACAGCTCAACCTGCTGCTGGAACAGGACAAATGCTTTTGGGACAGATCAATTTTTTGTTACCAGTTTAATATTTTCCTTACAGCAAAAAGAAGCTTTAGGAGGAAATCCTCAGAGCAGTGGAAGGCCAACAGTTAGAGAGATGACCCTCTTACCCCATCTTATCATTTTAAGTTTTTTAATTTAAAATAACTTAAAATGATAATGCTCATCTTTATGGGATATAACTGCATTTTTGTTTGTTTTTCTTCACTAGACCTAGTGGAAATATTTCATTTTTGGCACTAATGACTTGCCATATAGGTAGGTCATGTATGTAAATCATTAGTTTGTTGTACAGTGAAGATCCCTGAGTCTGCCAGGGATAAACCTTTGGATTGAGAAGCAGGTTGTCATTTGTTGAGTTCCACTGAAGATGGAACGTTCCTCTGCTTTTCTTTCTATGTAAAATAATTCTGGCTCACTCACAGTCTGCTGATCAGGCAGATTCACACTTTCATCTTTTAAACTACAAAAGTCAAACTATCCTTGTAAATGCTTCAAGTGTTAGAACCAAAATGCTTACAATCAATGTTCCTCCTATAGTTTTGAACATTTTCTGCATTTTCCATTCACGAATATTAAAACTTAATACTTTTCATGACAAGTATGCAGCTCTTTGGTAAATGTTTTTAAAAAATAACACTCCATTAAAAACACATGTATTTCCAACATCTTTTGCCCCTGAATTCCTATAAAGCCATTCTGACTGCACATTTTGCTAAGTCAGCAGTAAAGAAGTGAAACTAATATGAATTTGTTCATGGTTTGGTTTTAGCCCAGTGTTGCTAAAACATATTTAGACATGGGACTTTCATTTCCAGGTGCAGTGAGTCTCAGGGCTAATCTAAGCCAGTTGGTCTGCCTCCATGAAGAGCCAACATTTGCATGCATTGCTCAACAAAACTGCTGCACGTGTGCAGATCCTCTGAAGCAGGCTCCTACTTACATGCGTGTGGCCTGACTGAGAGAAAGCACAGAGCAGCTCTCATGAACATCAGAAAGAACAAAACAATATGAAACAGATTTTTATTCATGAGTGTGACCACATCTTTACATCTGCTGAAGCGTTCACACCAAAGAAAACTAAGAGACATTTCTGCACGCAATGGAGCATGTCCTTAACTCTAACAGCTTTTGTGTGTGTGTTTAACAGGAGCAAGGCCGGATGCTGCAGATGGGCATCACTGGACCGGAGGGCCATGTGCTGAGCAGGCCAGAGGAGGTTCAACCCTCACACTTTACTTAACTGCATGAAAAACTGAAATACTAAAGGAAACGGGGAAAAAATACATTTTGATGAAACTATTTCTCTACAACATTGTGTCTCATGGGTTGGCTGCATGTATATTGATCTTTTTACACACATGAGGTTTCAGGGAAAAGTCTTCTTATTCCACCATTTCTTGCTCTAGAAAAAATCAGCAAAATGAAAGATAACAGTTCCAACTCGGAAACGTTTCGTCTTTTATCTAGAGTATTTATTTAATCTCATTATTTCAAATCTTGGTAAACATAATTTTTGGCATATATCTATCAACATTGTTCATATTTAGTTGTAATTTTTCGGACACCCAAACTGGACATGCTGACAGGAACTCAGTAAGCAGCTGAAGTGTTTTCATTCCATTTTAAAGTCTAAAATAACTGCAGGATATTTTACCATCCTGGACTTAAGGTTACTTATTGTGTCATATGTCAAACTGATACAAACATTAAGTTGTAGATACTTCAACAAATATTTCTTCTGAAAATCTCACGCTGTGTTCTACACTGAAAAGATGTTGAGTCCGTTTGCTCCTAAAGTCTTTGATGGAGCACAAAGGGAAATCATGTGCTGCATCATCTGATCCTATTTAGATTTATCTCAACATCTGTGTGCTAATTTTATTAAATTACTTTCTAATCAGTTTCATTTGATACCACAAAGAGAATCCTCAATGTTTCCAGTTAATATTGTGTAGTTCAGGGTTCTGACTGATCCAGTCTGGTTCAACTCACCTGAATCAAATGAATAGTTCATCAGCAGCTCCTGCAGAGCCTTGCAGCTGTTTGAATCATCTCTGTGGGGCACAAAGTATTATGTAATTATAAAGGGGAAAATAAAATATGCAAGTTTTAAATTCTAAGA